GCTACTGTCTCCTCTATCATGAAGTCCACACTCTTCTCAAAGATCGCCAGAGGATGGTGGGGATAGGCAGCTTCCCCTAAGGCAAAGCCAATAAACCTCAAAGACAGTCTACCTTGAACTTCCTGAAGAAGCCCAGCTGAAAGGAGGCTACCTCTTGCCTAGAACGGCCCTGAAGTATGCAATTTTCAGGTATTTCTGGAAAGACTGGGATGCTTCAGGTCCTGAAATAAGGTCTTCCTGAGATGTGTCACAGCTGTTGTCATTAAGACCTCTCTCTTTCTCAAGTTTCTTTGGGACATCTATTCCCAGTTCCATCAGAGCTGGCTTCTAGGGTCCCTTGATGCTTCTATTGCCCCCTTTCCTTGGTTCATACTACTTCCCAGGGCTTTGAGAACAAGGCACAGGCACAGCTCTTATCCCTGCTTGTGCCCCTCAGCTAGTGACTGCTAAAATGTCCCTTGAAGGTAAAGTTGTTTTCAGTCTTGGGCAGAGGAAGGTCCCATATATCACCTATTTTAATCTGACAAACCAACACCCTACAGTTCTCTCCATTGTGTAGCGTTGGCCTCAAGTGATTCTTCCCCTGAGCCCTCACTCACACCGGACCCTCAGGCAGATACATTGCCTTCAGGAGGGGATCCTGCCCAGGAGTTCTCAAAATGGAAGCCTCCCAGCAGCCTTGGAGACCCTATGCAAATGAGTGCTGACGCTGGCCCACCATCTTTGAGAGGTTGATCTAACCAGTCCCACCTGATCTCCTTTGCTCTTAAGGTCCTAGGGGCATTCGGGCTCCTTTTAGAAACTTATTAGAGCTGTAGATGTTCAAGAATTTCAGATCTAAGCTGGAGAAATAACGACTTGCCTTACCACATTAGGAACTTTTCCTGGAAGGAAAAACAGGCATATCTCTGTGGATATGTAGTTTCCAGGTGACGTATAGCAGGACAGCACCTTGACCATAGTTGACCAAAGGTTTTAGTCTATCACTCAGAAAAAACTGATTAAACTTTAAAATATACATACATAAATATTTTTAAATTTTGGCAAGAAGAGAGAATAAAAGTAAACGACTCTTTAGGACAAGGAATGCATGTAAGAAAAAGCAACTAATGTCACAGAGACCTGCTAGGAATAGAATCCCAGGACACCTGGTGAGGAATTACTCTCAAAGGCGTACCTCAAAGGTAAGCCTCAAGAGTAAACCTCACAGGCAGACTGGAAAGGCAGTGAGGTAAGGGCCCTGAGCTGAAACCAATTAGTGCTCAATAAACAAATAGGAGCATTTTGTTTTCTGCCTGACTTCAGGACCGCCTTCCATAAAGCTCAGGGGGGAAAAATGAGAGTTCAAATTCCCAGAGCAATTCAATTTACAAAGCAGATTCTATTTGATTTGCGGAAGAACAGGCTGTGGTGTGTTTTGTGTCAGGGCTTTTGAACAGCAATTCCAGAAAAAATGTGCTGAGTCGTGAATCCTTAGGGATAAAAGATTTTGGCATGAACATGATTGGGAAAGGGTAAGAGCTGTGGCATTATACAGGTTAAGGATAATAGAAGGCTCATTATTCTTCTTTTAAATGAGGCCCTTCCATGCAAACATTGGCCCCACACCTGTGCCCAGAAACACTTGAATCTCCCTCAGGTATTGGGGAGACACACACTAAAGAATACTAGCAAAAATAATAGTAGCTAATACTTTCTGAGCATGTGCCAGACATATATTTGGATTAGCTCATTTAATACCCATAATGGCCCTATGATATGTTTGACAAATGAGGACATTGAGGCTTTGACAGGCTAAATAGTTTCCTCACAATCACCCAGGTGGGCTACAATCTGAACCCAGGAATCACAGCCTTAACAAGTATGCATACTGCATCTCCAAATATTGTCCTTGCCGTCATAGATTTCTAACCATTTTACCCACTTGTGGTTCAATTCCTTATTTAAAGAGGCATCTTATTAACTTATGGCATCGTTCAGACACAAGGGACTATAGAGCAAAACGTCCCAAGATTGCTATTTATGAAGGATAAATCATTTGGCACTGCTAATGTATATTGTGTATTTTACGTGTTCAATATAATACTAAGTAAAAGAAAAAAAAGTGAGACATTCTTTCCTTAAATTTAGAGTTCTTTTTTTTTTCCTGGAATGTCCTGAGTTACGATAATCCTATAGTGAGAGCTAAAGGCTCTCTGAGGTCACAGGACTTTGCAGTCAGGAAAAGGACTGACATACCATTTGGTCACGACCTCGCAGGGCTGGAACTCCTGGGTCTTGGGTATTGTTCCTCATGGGGCCTCTAGAAGTTGGTGTCTGAACCTTATCCCCTGACAACATGGTCCTCCTAGAGAAAATTAGGTCAGCAACGGGATCCTAGGAGGAGGGAGCGAGAGAGGCTGAAAGGAGAAGTGAGGGAGCATTAAAGTCGGGGAAGAGGGTCCCGAGCAAACTATCTCAGTTTGCGCCTTCCCCCAACTCAGCCCAAGGCACTTGGAATGTCAGGAAATACCTTTGAGTCACAAAAGAAAGACTGTATTCTAATCAATATAATTTCCTTATTAAGTCTGTTTTTAAAAGACTAATTCTTGAGAAATGGGCAAGTTATAAATATTTATATAAACATATAAACATCTCTATACAACCCTCCCAGCTAGGTCCCATATCCTAACCTTGTTAGAAATCAAACATTTTTCATTTTGCTTTTGGAATTGACTTATATGTGTTGTCCATACCATGGCAATTATGTTCTGAAACATAAAATGAGGATCATAATCCCCATCTCTCAGGGCTATTAGTAGGGATAAACAGTATTATGTTACTGATGAGATCATCGTTCAGAATCTTGAAGAGAACTCTGGCTTCTCTCTCTCAAAAGACTTCTGTAGGACTGACATATTAGCTTTTTGGAAGCGATAGTTAAAATAGTTTAGCAAATTGACCTTTGCACATACTGATATCCAATCATCAAATTCTGGAGACTAAAGTAGACAGCCCGTCATTTATGTTTTACATTTAAGTCAACTGTCGCTTTATGTAATTTGGGGTGGGGACAGGGGAACTGGCTAAGAAGAGAAAAAGCAACCAAACTGATGCAAAACAAACAAAAAATACTTTATTGTTTCTTAAAAATCATTCCCTAGACAACAGATAATGCACACATTGGAGGACTGTAGTACACACAGGGAAGGTGCATTTGGACAATTATCAACATTAACGAACGCAGGGATTTCATAAAAGTTCAACTTTATCGGGTTATTGGATTTTCTGAATATTGGCAAAATGCACTTTCAACACAAAAACATTTAGTTTAGTTTTTTTTAATGTCACTAATTTTATCTACTATCTTTGACAGTGACTAAAAAATGAGGTACAGAAAACTCTCCAGAAGTCTGAGTATGGAGCAGAAGTCCAAGGCACTTTGGGGCCCCATTATTTTCTCACTGAGTAGGATTAACCCAGTTCTGAAATTCCTCTTATTCCATGTTTCCTGCATAGAAAATCACGGTTTACCCACCTCAATAAGGTGTTGTGGGGATTCGTTTTAATAAAGTGCTTCAGGTGCCTTAGAAGAAAGGCAGCATAGGAGAATGAAAAAATCTTACATATTTCAAAAGAAATGAAAAAATAATTTTGGCACAATGGGAAGAAGAGTGCCTCTTATTTTAAAAACCACTCTTGCCTATCTATTTAAACCCATCACCTCAATGGCCTCTTGTTTGTTTGTTTGTTTTTTAATTAAGAGAAAAAATGTTCCTGTTTTGCCAGTTTAATAACAGTCTCAATCCAGGCTGTGGTATCAGAATCTCTTTAAGAGTCTGTTAAAAATACAGATCTTTGGCCCACAGCCTAGACCTACAGAATAAAGCTTCTAAGAGTGGTTATATTTTCAAAAGGATCTATAGAAGATTCTGATGCATACAAAAGTTTTTAAAACATTTCTTTAAAAAGATGTTAATTTATTAAACATTGATTTTCCTCCTAGAACATTTTTCTTAAGAATGAATGAAGTTGGATCAGGGTGTCAACTTCTTATTGCCTTTTCCCCTTCCCATGTCCCACACAGACTTAGAACATCACACACACACGCACGTGCGCGCGCACACACTTCTTCGTTCTGCCCTTGAATTAAAATATGGTAGTGGTAAAACGTGATAGTAGCAAATAAATTGAAAAGATAGGTAAGGACTTGCAATTCGTCCCCACTGTTCCCAAAGCAAATGGGTGGCTCCCATCTGCCAGAACGGAATGGTTTAAATATGCATTTCCAATTTGGAAACAGGTAAAATCAGCACTTCCTGGGGAACATCAGCTTGAATAGATGCTGACAGACAAAAGTGAGTGAGCCAGGTTATAGCAGCCAACCATGAAGCAAGGCTACAGCGACTCCTCCTCTGTTTGGAGATCGCCTTCATCTCAGCAGACACATGATGCTCAACGGGCACCAAACATGTGGGTGCTTCATCAAGGTAAATAAAATAGAATAATGAAAACTGGTGACTGTGATTTAAAATGTCTTTTTTTTTTTTTTTTCCTTCAATGATCAGTTTGCTCCACTGCAATTCTTAATGCTGTTTTAGTAACTACTTTCATTTCTTGACTGGCTCAAAGTCTTCTGTTCACTAGCTAGTCTAACTTAGAGAAGAGGGTGCTCGTCCCTAACGGCTCTCAAGTGTATCTCATCATGCTGCCTGCAGTTTTAAGAGAGAGGAGTCCCCTCAGGGTGCCTTGCAATGGAACTAATGGAGCCTTCAGAGAAATTATTTGTTCACACAGAGAAAGCCTTTGGAGGCGGGCCAAAATTTTTACCATGTCAAGAACTCATGAATAATAGCAAAACAAAATAATCCCCCTTATTGGGAAAAGAAAATAAAGTACAGGAGATAGAGGCTACATAGAGAGTAGTATATGTTGTTGTTGTTTTTTTAAATTCACTCAGAATCAGCCACAGTGAAATTTTACTATGAAAAAACAGTCTTGTCCTGCCATCCGATATGCCTCTAAACATGAGAGGCAACTTTGTACAGAAAGGCCGTTGGAGCCGGCTTGGGGAGGGGCCTGTTGCATGTTTCCCAGGAGGGCAGGGATGCCAGGAGCAGAATAAAACCTCCCAGCAGGACGCAGAAGCCACTGAAATAAAATGCAATGTCATAGGTCTGGGTCCAGTCATAAAACCAACCTGGGAAGGAAAGAGAGTAAGAAAACAATGAGTTTGATTTAAAAAAAAATAGTATCAATATGCAGTCCCTACTCTAATCTTATCAATTTCAGATGCAGTTAGTATGAGAATATATATTCCATCTACTTTCATGGTGGCCTACTGGGAATTAGAAAAAGAGAATTTCTCAAAAAATGTGCACAAGAAGCAGGAGTTTTGGATTTCTCCCAAATAAAGAACAAATACAAGTCCCTGAACAAGGATATTGGCTTTTAAACTACAGCAAAGTGATTTTGAATAAACCGTTACCATACAGATTTCTTTTGTGCAAATCTGTGCTATTATTACAATGTGAATTTCTATATCTGGAGAAGTCACAAAGAAAAGCAGTAAAGTGGATGACTTTAAGATAAATATCTTACCAACAATTGGTGGTCCAAGGCTATTTCCAAGTCCAGCAAAGAACATTAATATCCCATAGGCATGGGCTAATTTTTCAATTCCCACAGTCTTCGTGGTCACATATGGGAAAATGGACCAATTACCAGTAAGGAACCCGAGGATCCCAGAAAGTATTGCCAATGTGACATAACTTTTGGCGAATGGAATAGCACACAAGGCCAGGCCCATGACTATTAAGGTGGCTATGTAAAGGTACAAGGTGTTAATCCACTTGAAGTCAGCCAGTATCCCTAAAAGGAGTTTACCAACTGCCGTCATAATGCCAATAATGGAAATAAGTGGCATAATAAACTCTTCCTCTTTCACATTTGAACTTCTGGCTACATCTTCCATAAGTAATGAAGGTGGAAACCCTCCGATGTCAAAAAGAAAGATAGCGATGAAGAGGGCTGAGAATACTTTGTTTTTAAAAAGAGCCGCAGTTTCTCCACAATAGTTTTTGTATAATTGCCACTTCCTCTTGGCAAGCTGTTTGCAAAAATATGTCTGTTCTGCAACTTTCTTTTTGTATGTTTCGGTCTCTCTTGTGCGGTGCGCCATTGCTGTCGGGTTTTTATGAAGTAGGTTTTCCTGTTTCCAGTCACCGTTGGCTAACGTGCTCTTATATGTTTCCTCACTACCGTAGCTCTTTTCAAGAATGCTTATGTTTTCTTCTAGGTTCTTTTCTTTTTCACTGTAAGTGGAGAATCTATCTGGTACACTTTCCAGATCTGTTTTTTCAGGCAAAGGGCAATCGGAGGACTGGAGGGGTCTCATCAGACTGCCACAGGCTAATATATTTAAAGCTAAAGCACCCACAATCAGCAGGCACCCATCCAGTCCGTAGGACTCAATCAGCAGCCTCTGCAGAGCAGCGTATATGAAAAGTCCAACGCTTGAACCTAAAAAGGAAACGGGGACTGGTCAATCTTCATCTCTTATGACCTGGGACCCTCAGGACAGATAGTATCCGTATCACAACTCAATTTCTTTTTTACACTGGCACCCACACGTGCCTTCATATGAAAATCACAGCAAGACTATGAAAGGTAATGCTAATAGCAATAATAAGAGTAATACTAATAGAATATTTATTTTAAGAATTAGCATTCATAGCTCAAACAGTGTCAAGTACTTTACATTGCACGACCTCATTTAATCCTGATAATGATCATATTGCGTAGGTCTCATAATTATTCCCAACCTGCACATGAAGTGACCTAGAGCTAGAAAGGTTGAAAAACTTTCCAGAGGCCACAGAGCTGTAAATGGGATTAAGTTGGAGTCACACTCAGTCCTGGAGCCCATATTCTTAACAAACACCTTACGCAACTAATTTTTCTGCCCTTATTATAGGCCAGGCTCCATGCTTTAGGTTTATTCCCTTTGAAAAAGCCAATATTCATATTTTAGTTTTGATATAAAGAATATATTTTAATTTTGATGGGATATTTGCAATGGTGTGATAGTTCAAATCCAATGCTGAACCACCAGAATAAGTAACTCACATTACTAATCTATGAAAAGAGTAACAGTAGAGTGCAATTTGATGCGATATTTAAATCACAGAATATGCCTGGTTCGCATATCCTTGCAACACTGTAAATTCCTCAGGGTGTTTTTTGTTTTGTTTTGTTTTGTGTTTGGCATAGATCCCTCTAAACACACTGAAATGGCATGTTATCTTAGTCCAATTAATCTGCAGTATTTTTATATGATTCTGACTTCAACACTTTCAAAATTGAATATTTTAAAATTTAAATATCATTGAAAAATGTCACAAGAAAAAGCAGTAGAGAAATAATTGGATCTGTTAAAAATAGATAAATAGGCTGATCATACTTTTAAAATGATCTGTGCGAAATTATGTCATAACCCCCACAGGGTGCCGTGCAGGCCACAAACCCATCCTATCAAAAATTCCTACAAATAACCAAATGACTTTGGCTTAGACTTGCAAGAAAACATTTTTCTTTGGGACCACGATTGTCTCTTTCTCACATTTTTAAAGTTAATTTTTTAATAATCCCCCAAAATTATTTGCAAGAAATATTAATTTATAGCTCATGTTAATGTAAGGGCAGCTAAAATTTTATCTTTTTGTGGCCAGTAACATAGTATCTTCTTTGCTGACATTGAAAAATCATAAGTAGACAAATTTAATCCTTCCCTTATCTTTTTAAAAGTAGCACATTCTTCAAAAGTTAAAAGCACTTCAGAAAATAAACTGAAAGAATAGGAAATAGCACTGTGTCATGTACTTCTGCACTGCATTACCATCCATTCACTATTAATTCACATTTTTGTCTAAAACCACTTCTTTGTACAGTCTAAAAATGTGCCATTCCTTTAGATATTTAGAAATACTCTTGGCATTTTGCAAGTTGTATATTTTGACCTCAAATTGAGAAAAATAAGCAACTTCTCCATTGCTCACCAACTAAGTGTAGCTCTCAACATCATGAAATATAAAGAGATATTAAATCAATTCAAACAAAATCTATTGAATACCTATGATATGCTCAGTATACAACAGGACAGCACAATCAAATTACATGTGAAACACTAGTTTCCTCAGCCTGCCTCCCACAGAGATGCAGCCAAAGCTAAGAAAGATGCAGAAATTCTTCCAGGGCAATAAAGAGTAACTCAGAACGTTCTTGTGGGTCTGTGTAAAATGAAAATTATACTTTTTAATTTTCAGAAAGAAAACTCTAATTTAAAAATTATCAATGTAAAGGGTAAAGTGAAATAAAGGATGAATTATCCTTCCATGTATGTCTAAATTAGACATTACCACAATGAGGAAAAACATTCATCAGTGTTCAGGGAACCTGAAGTAGTAAGATATACACTCATGCAATGATTAACTATTAATACCAGGGGTCAATAATCTCTTCCTATAAAGGGCTAGAGAGTGAATATTTAAGCCACAGCAGGCCATACGACCTCTCACAAATGCTCAGCTCTGCCCTTGAAGCAAGAAGGCGGCCAGAGAAGGTTTGTAAAGGAACGAGTATGGTTCTCTTCCAATGCAACTTTATTTACAAGCACTGAAATCTGAATTTCACATAATTTTCTCATGCCATTAAATAGTCTTCTTTTGATTTTTCAAAACTATACAGAAATGCAAAAAGTCATCCTTAGCTTGTGAGCTATCCAGAAACAGGCAGTAGACCAGACTTGGTCCATGGGCATTGGTTTACCAACCCCTGCTCACCACGGAGCAGATTGAGTCCCCAAAACCTTCATTTCACGCCCATGTTCCTTTCTTTCAACTAGGTCACAATATTTCAAGTATTTTCACTATTGTTTTCTTTTTAATTTTAAAACATTCTACTGTAATTTTAGTTTGCTTGCCATCTCTTTCACTGAAGTTGGATGCAACAGACAGAATGTTTATGTTCCCCCAGATTTACATGCTGAAACCAAGCCCCCAAGGTGATGGTGTTAGGAGGTGTGGCCTTTGGGAGGTGATGAGGTCATGATGGCAGAGCCCTCATGAATGGGATTAGCGCCCTTATAAAAGGGACCCCAAGAGCTTCCTCTCCCCTTCTGCCTTGTGAGGACACAGTGAAATGACAGCTATCTAGCAAGCAGAAAGTAGGCTCTCGCCAAATTTGCTGGCGCCTTGTCCTTCCTTGGACTTCCCAGCCTCCGGAACTATGAGAAGTACATTTCTATCGTTTATAAGCCACCCAGTGGATGGTGCTTTGTTGTAGCAACCTGAACGGACTAAGACAGTAGATTCGTATTTCTCCCTAATTTTGCCTCACCTAGCTCCCTGTGAATTGAAACTGAAAACTCCTTAATTCTGCCAAATCTTGACTGTCCATAGGAGCTCCATTTTGGATTCAGTGTGCCAAGGCCCAAGCACATATGTCCTCTTCCCTAGACTGAGTGAAAAGCAAGAGCAGCGCACTCAGCGTACAGTTTTCAAAGTCTTCAGCACAAATAAATCTGGACATTCAGGGAAATCTAGGTCATAATTATAATGACTAGTACTTTTAGAGCCCTTGACATGTGTCTTACAGAATAACTCCTTTAATATTCCCCATAAACCAATGTGACAAGGACTGTTTTATTCCCATTTTACAGTTCAGAAAACTGAGGCTTAACAGTTAACTAACTTAAAAGTTAACTAACTTGTCAATCACCAGACAGCTAGTGGATGACACAGGCAGGACTCAAACCCGGTCTGGCTCCAGGGTCTGTGCTTATTATTATAGTGCCTCTGCAGAAAATATATAGTATAGGTAAGACCCATTGTCCTTTAAGATGCCATGCCTACTGTCATACTCCAGGTTCCTAAAACTACCCTCCAACTGCTTTCAATTCTCCCTCTTGACTTTTCTACTTCTTCTCACATGTCTGCCTTAGCCATGTCTTCAGATTCTGGCCCTATCTCTTCCTAGACCATGATCTACATTTCTTAACTGGCAATGCTTCTTTAAGCCACATTGGGTAAACATTCAGCTACATGTAAATAGATCTGGGATCACTTTGTTGCCACTGGTAGGCCTCAGGGGCAAAACATTAATTTGGATCCTGTTGTCAGATATATTACTAAAGTTATTCAGCTTATCTGAAAGCCGGCCTCCCAGGCATACCCACCCATTAACAAGTAGCATATGCAAACATACAACTTTTAGTAAATTTGCAGCTTTATTTCCCAAGCAAATTCATAAAATACTGGCTACAAAAATTTTGATAAGTTCCCTAACTTGCTTAGGAAAAAAATCCATCTGAAAAGTAAAATACAGTTTTGAATTTTCAAAGAGAGTCCAGAAATTTTATATTTACATCCCCCAACCCAGTGATCCCCTCTTGATTATTAAAGGAATAGCAAGAGTAAACAACCCGTCTTTTGGATGTGCACATAGGTCAGTGAGATGTATTCATAAGTCAGTCCTTTCCACTTTCTTTGTGGAAACTGTAAGTCTCACAATAAATGGAGTTTGAGAGCTATCAGCATCAGTCTTCCTGACAGGGGTCTTGGGGGTCTCCATTTCCCTTCCATTTCTCCAACCTTTCTCAGGGATAAAGTCCTTTACATACGTGCTTGCCGCTTCTTTCTACACAATTCTGACCAGCACGTGACTCTCAATTTACGGGGCCATAAGCTTTCTTTTCCTGTATTATATTTGTGGATGAAGACAAGAGTTCTATGGAGAGAAACCTCACAGGGCGACCTGATCATAAATTCCTAACTGGGCAGTTCCTGGTGGGGAGTCACACCCCAGACCTATAACTTTTTAGTAAAAGGCCTGTTCTTGCCTCAAGCAAGCCCTGTCCATTGTTTTTGTGCATCTAGGTCGACACCTTTGAGATAACCACCCTCCAGAAGACTTGTGGTCTTGATTAACTACCCTGTGACCCAATCTCCATGCTGCTTTTTGCTCACCTCCCTGTAATTTTCCTTACATTCCCTCCTTAATTTAAATGCATAAAAGGAGCTGAAAAACTTCAAATGCATAAAAGAAGCTGCAAAAAAAGGAGCTTCCCAGCATATATCATCAGTTTGTCTCAAATAAACTCATAAAACTTCTCTACAGGTTTGCACGTTTCTTACTTCAACATATGGGAAATCTAATGTCCCAGATTTTTCATATGTGTATCTTAGGCTTTTCTGAAAGCTAGGCCATATTTACAGCAGAAACTGAGATCGCCATACAGGACTAGAGAAAAAAAATTTGCTAGCTGAGTTCTTGCTGGGGAGTGGCTGGTTAAACATATTTGTGTTTGGTAACTTTTCGCTCTGATTAGAAGCCTGTATAGTCACAATGCTGTACTTATTTTGAAAATGTACCTGTTGAAATCAGGCCAAGTGCAAGGCCTCGGCGGCTGTCAAAATACTGGCACGTAATGGTCACTGTTGCCGTGTATAACAAACCACATCCAAGACCTAAACGTAAGAAGACATTACATAAATTAAGACATTCACTTCAATGCAAAAAAACAGTAAAAAAGAAGAAAAATTCCAAGAGGACATTGTGTTACTGACTGGCTAAAACCCTTTAGAGCATAGATTGCGTGGGCCCTTCAATGGTGGCGTCAGTGGACACACTTGTTCAAGCTCAGTTTTCACTCTACATTTACCCAAAGGTCAGGATCAAGTTGAAAAAAAAAATAGTCCAATTTATAAAGTATAAATGAAGAATGCAAATTTAAATTAAGACATCATGGAGAGAGAAAATGGTTAAACCACACACCAAATAGCAAACTGTAATCAAAAGTTCCCATTTGATATCTCTGTTTCTCTTCTAATTTCTTGTCAGCTCAATCGTTTTCCTCCTCTAAGTCCTCTAAACAATTTTATAAAATCCCTTCCATCATCCCAACCTATTATGCTAGAGCTCATAGCTTGCACGCCTCAACTGGCAAAATATAGACCCTATTGCAGGTCCTCAGTTGTCCTTAGATCAACACATCACAGTAAAATATATACTTGTTTTATCTTTTAGACCTGAAAACTATTGTGGAAAAAAAAAAGAGGCTATGTAATAAATCTGACATGCTCAGTGACCAAAAGTGACCTCAGAAGATGATCTGATCATAAATTTCTACTTCTGCAAGTCATGGTCTATAGTCAAACCCCAGACCTATAACTTCCTTAGTAAAAGCTTTATCTTTTCCTTAAGCAAGCCTTGTCCATTGTTCTTGTGCATCTAGGTTAACACATCTTTGAAATGTCAGAGTAATACTCTTTTTTAGACCCCTCTGAGGTATAACCACCCTCAAGGGAGCAGGTGATTTGTTTCCTGTACACCATCCCTATTTACTGTAACTATTCAATGTTAACTATCTTGTACCCACTAATGTAAAAGAAGTATTTATCTCTACATTTTTATCCAATCTTGGAAATTTCCCCAACTTATTTCTCCCACTTCCTTAATCTACAAGAAATGAACTTCATGTAATGTCCCCTATGTTCCCTCCTTGGATTCCAAATGCATTTAAAAAAAAAAAAACCCAAAACTGCCATTCTCAGAAGCATTTTCTCAATCTATTGTAATCCTATATCTAGGCATGTCCTCAGTTTGGCTCAAATAAACTTTTCTATCAGACTGGACATTCTTACAATGGCATTATCTTATTTATAAGTATTATAAAATGTCAAGATGTATTTAATTTAAAGTAACTTCACAAAAAAGAGGAAACAAATACAATAAAATATTAACTGTTAAATTGAAGTGAAGAGCAAATAATTGTTTGCTCTACTATTCTCTAATTTTCTGTAAACTTAAACTTTCCTTTCTTGAGCCCCAAAGGCAATATTTATCTCCAGATCTTCTCCAAGGCTCTTTTTAATTTTCTTCCTCTCCTGAGGACATGCTTATTGATTTTAGAGAGAGGAGAAAGAAGAGAAGGTGAAAGGGAGAGAAACATGCTTTGGTTGCTTCTCCTATGTGCCACCAAACCTGCAACCAGGATTGAACCTGAAACCTTTTGTTACACAGAACAACGCTCCAACCAACTGAGCCACAATGGCCAGGGCTCCACTGCTCTTGTTTTGTTAGCCTAATCTTTTCATCCCTATTAAGTACCTGCAACCCCAGTTTGTCATAGAAATTTCCTCTGGCTTCTATCAGAACTTTGCTTTTCTTCTGCAACATCATCTGTTGTTAGGAATCACTCTATAAATAACACCTAAGCTACATTTTAAAAACCAAATTTTACCCATGGCCCATTAGATGACTTATTAAGATCATTTTCATTACCTTTAATTGCTACCTGGACTATAATTAGAAAGAATACATGGGCTTACAAAATATACTGCATAAACATGCTAGGAAATTAGATCTTAAAATAACCCAGGACTCAGATGATCATCTTTGATTGCATAAAAATGCTTAAATAAATGAGATAGATTAAAACAATTACACTTAAATAAATCTTTTAAAATAAAGCACCCTTTTGCATGAGTTAAGGAAAGAAATACTATCCCATTACCTAGAACGGGAGTTGGATTGATTTATACAGTTATCATTACTATATATAGAACACTTTTAACACATGAAACAAGATGTTTCTGAAAAATCAATTTTGGGAAGTCAAAAAAAGTCACTCTCTACTAAGACTATACTTCAGAAAGCCTTTGGAGGAGGAATGAATTTATTTTCCTGTGATTTGGCTGTCAGGGCTCTTACAAATTTTAGGCATTTTGAGACATGAAAAAAAAGACATATCCAATTACTAAATGCCAGTGTAAAAAAGTTGAAATAGCAACTTCTAATTTTAGACTAAAAAGAAAGTAGTTTTAAAAAATTATTTTAAGGCCATGGATTTCAGATAAGATTATCTAACTTTTTTTTAATGAAGCATACATTTGAAATGTCTTTCCTTAAAACTTTTCTAAAAGCAGAAGGTGGCACGAGGCCCCCTGACATCTGTATGAGGAGGATCTTAAATCAGCAGCTATTAGAGAGCGGTCTCTAGAGTCTCTGAGATCTTTCATGCACCCTTTAATGTCAACACTGTTTCATAATAATGCTAAAGATGTTCTCTGGGTTTTTTTTTTTTCCATTTTGTTCATACTCACAATGGTGCAAATGAGATGGTGAGTAAAACCGGAAGAGTCTTAGCACAAATTGTGTGGTTGGTACCGAACTTTATATCTTGTGTGCTTCACCACCACGCGCTCTCAGTAAAAACACACACAACTTTAAAAAAATGCTTCATCTGAATTACCACAATTGTTGCAAGGAAAAGCACTTATGCAATTGTTTTAGTAGTCAGCTAAAATTCACTTTTTCACGTAACCCTTTTTGTATTTGAAAGACTGACAAACTACGGTTACTCAGATTTGGGTATTTGGCAGATGTTTCCTTGAAAATAAGTGAAGAGAAACTACTGACAACTTTCCAGCAAAAATAAGAATTTTGGAAATTTGTATCCATCACCATGAATTTGACAGCTTCCCAGTACATAAAAATTTTCTGATGAGCCTGTTGGTGATAGTAACAAAAATGACTTGTTTGATGTTGTATAATGGAATGCATCAAAATTTTAAAATTCTTGCATAACCCAGTGAATCAATATTTTTCAAGTAACCAATTCATGAGGTTACAAAATCAGGTTTGAATGCAGATGTATTCAAAGTACAGAATAAACAAATGAATTTAATGTAACAGAGCACAAAAGTCTATTGATGCAGTATCAGGTTCCAAACTGCAATACCTTACAAAAAACTGTTACTTACTGAGTGACATAGAAGAATATCTACAATTATCTAAAAAGCCTATTAAAAGCTCCTCCATTTTCCAATTACATCTTTGTGTGGGACCAGTTTCTTCATACATTTCAGTCAGAAACACATATCGCAACAGTTTGAGTACAGAACACAGAGAAGAATGTAGGTGTTTTCTATGAAGACAGGCATTACATTTGCAAAAATGTGAAACAAGGTTGTCTCTCTCAGTTAATTTTGTTTTGTGATGGAAAATAGAAGGGTTTTTTTTCATACGTATGTTAGTTAACATGCATTGGGTTTGTTATTATCTTTAAATTAATTATTAAATCTTTTTATACTTCTCAGCTTTTTAGACAATAAATCTTAATAGGATAAATGTCAATTAAGTATAATCTACATATCAAAAGCTCCTTGGGGTCCTAAAGAAAAGAGTATAAAGGGACCCAAGACTAAAAAAACTTCCTTAAAGCATTCTCTGGTCTCCAGTCATTTTTTATTTGATTCATACCAGTGAAAAAAATTCTGAGCATCAACCTCCAGTATAAGCATAATAGTTTTAAAACTAAATATCTGTATTGCTAAAATTTCAAAGCCTAATCATCAGTAAAATATAATTGTTTCTCTTAAACAGGTAAAAACTAAATATATTTATATCTTGTAACATTTCCTTTCCACAGCTTATGTTCCACATCACACACCTCGGGGTGAGACCACAACTTCAAAGGCCCTCTTGCCCCTCCTCTCATCACCTCAGCCCCGACACCACGCTGTTTATGACACCCACTGCCTCAGCCATCACTGCGCCCCTGTCTTTCTGCACTGCCGCTGCCACTGCCTCAGTTCATCTCCTCATCTTTGCAGATCGAAACTCCAGCCCCTCAATCTCTGTCTCCACCGCTGCTTCTTTTCCCACCATTCTACCTTCTAAACTACAGTCATACAATTCTCATCACATCACCTGCCTACAACAGAGTCCATGTGAAACCCTTTATCACCAGCCTCTGTTACAACCCTGCTTTGACAGGAGTTCAGCTTCCTTTGTGACTTGTGTATCCCTTAAGTAAACACCCGAGGCAAGACTGCATTCTAGTTCGTGCCTGGGAGCATTTCAACCCTTGGAATGTCCTCTTCCCACCCCTCTCTGTGCCCTTCCAACCCGCGCACACCTGACCACATCCCACCATCCTTCAAAGACTCAACTCAAGTACAGATTCTTGTACGAAGCCCCTAGAATCTCCCCTCTCCACCACGCACACATACTACACCAGCGTTGAGCCTTGGTTTCATTTTATTATTGCATTTTTCTATTATATCACAAGTTCTGTATTTACAAGTTGATCCTCCTTACTAGACAAAGAGCTACCTGAGGGCAGTCCATGTCTTATTCACCTGAGTGTCCCAGCTTCAGGTCTGAGCCTGGCAGGGAGTGAGGGTTTTTAAAAAATGTCGACTGAAGTTGCCATAAAAAATTATGTTGTAGAAGTATATTCACTGAACAGAAAGATGTCCACAACCAGTTTTCAAAATTTACAAGCAGAATATACTGAATAGTTATTTTATTTTATGTATGTATACACACATACATACATAGTATTTATACAGCCATATAAATTAAAATATACATATATTTTTTAAAAATTGAAAAAAATGTCTGTTGAACATGGCAAAGTAGGTCAACATTGTACTCACCTCCTTCCCGGACAACATCAAAA